GTTATTGCAGTTACATGGCCATGAGCCAAGGAATGCCAGGAGCCCACCGGAACTGGAAGAAACCAGGAAGATTCTCTCCCAGAGCCTTTGTAGTGATCATGGTCTTGTCAACACTTTGATTTAAGACTTCTGTCCTCCAAAATGGTGAAAGAATGTAGCAACCCTAGGATACTGATAAAGGTTTATATTTGATATGAATGACAGGTTTTGAATTCCTTGAAATGTTAGTCTGTGTCTGTTCTGTGTTTATAGATAAGATATTTTCTTTGAAGTATATTAAAGACTGAATATCTGTCACTAAAATTTTTTTTTAATTAAAAAAATGTCCTTATATACTTAATAACCCATTTATCTCACAAGGCTCCTGTTCTGGCTTTCTTTTATCTACCATAGATGTGGCTGGTGGTTATTCATCTTCCATGCTTGATGCAATCAGAAAAGCAGTGATGGTTTCCAATATCCTTTTGATTAATAAAATAAATGAGAAAAGCCTCACCCTCAAAGAGGTCTTCAGACTAGCTACTCTTGGAGGCAGCCAAGGTAATGACCATTGTATTTCTCTGTCAAACAATGTACACCATGACAGCATCCTTGGATGCAGTGTGATGGCACATGATGGTTGCCTCCAGAGACATCCACATCCACGGCTGTTGCATCTTATACAGCATACCCCAAACTAAACAAGTAAAGTACATGTTCAGGTATGTGGGGAGGCATCATTCATTCAGCAAGTTTCCTGTCTTTGGCAGAAGAGATGTTCAGTATACCATTATCACATTAATTATTTTAATGGATATCTGCATCGGTCACATGCGTATGCATTCTGTAGTCATTTTTCTCTATTGAGTCCAGTAACACACTCTCTACTGGCCTAGTTGATGATGATGATAGTAATGATAATAATCATTATTGTGGTGTAAATAATAGCCAAGATGTACTGAGCTCTTACCATGCAACATCTTTAGAATCTGGGGAATAGGCACCATGCAATATCTTTACATATGTTGCTATTTAGTCCTCACAGTCACTGTTAGTAATTCCATTTTACCAACGAGGTGCCTGAGTGAGGCTGACACAGCTGTCAAGCTCCAGAGAGCCATGATCTGAATGTAGGAAATCTTATGCCAGAGTGTACTTTTTTACCTGTCTCCCATGATAACTTCCTGTATAAATCCCAGCTTAGACTATGTATTTTGTTCATATATTTAAATACACTAATTATCCAAGCCCCTTTAAAAGGAGAAAGATGTAAAAATATAGTTGGTTGATATGCAAATATTATTCATCTGTTTTTCCCAGTTCTCACATGTAACTGTATTTTTATGCAAAAAAATTGGAAATTGTGTTGCTTTCAGTCTAGTATTATAGTATAATCTGGATGGACACTAGTAATGTATCACGTATATCATGAAACCTTAGGTAGCTTGTGAGAAATAAAAACATAGATATAGAGACATAGAGAGAGATTTATAGTAGATACCCTGGGTCCTAGAAAAGGAGGATGATGGAAGCTGAGAGGATCCTGAGAGGAGAAATGTCCTGGTTCTTCTTTGAATGTTCTGGGCCAGAATAAATAATATAAAGAATATTTCAAGAAAAACAAGTAGATGCCCTGCTCTTTGCATTTTCTAAAGTTCCAACTTTTAAATGACCCATTCTTTGAACAGGTGTGACACTTCTAACCCCAGTCCCACTGTGTTTGAGTATCTGAGTTTGAGTAGTTGACCTATCATGTTTTCATGGTGCAAGCAATGGTGCTTTTTACTATTATTATTGTTATTATTATGATTATGATTATTATTATTATTATTTTATAGGCTCTCTGTGAGTTGCTTCATTAGGATCCTGTGCCTGATCAGGCTGGTCTGGGGTGCTTACCAAATCATTTCTACCTTGCTGTGTAGCTTTTAAGTCTAATTTCTGGAGCACTGGGTTGACAGTGACAGAATTTCTTCTCCTGAGCTTGTATCTCTATGAGAGTCTGAGTGAATGAGATGAATGGGTTCCTGTTCAAATTGTGGCATCTTCCCAGCTTGCCTTGGCCTTTACAAGATCTGCATAAATCTCCTTCACAGAGCCAACATTTGCTCCAAAGGCAGCAAAGCTGTGTTCCCTGACATGCAGTGGTGTTCCCAACCACCCCAGCTGGGCCTCTCTGCAGTAATCTGAACTTAGATCAATTTACAAATTCACTGACACCAATTGTGTCTTTTTTTGGTTGGGTAATGCCCAAACTCCCTAGGTTCTAACAAGTAGCCCAGTTAATTTATATATTTCATCAAACTTTGGCAAATAAACCTGGCTATCTAGCCTATTAAAGGTACAACAACTTTATGTTGAGTGCAGTCATTAAAAACTCATATTTATTGTGTTTCTTTGTCAAGGGAAAAAAAGTAATGTAGTCAGTGAAGGAGGAGAGAATTTCTGGTAATTTCCTGTTTCATTCAATCCTTTCCCAGACAGCACACGTCACCTGACTGCTTTTAACATTTCTAATTATTTTTGCACACCTGGCTTCCCATGAGAATTCTTTAGCTAAAGAATCTTTTTCTTTTCTGAGAATAAGAGTTGTCCTTTAAATAATCTTTTAAGAACTAGTAGGGTTTCTAAGTCAGTGCTTAGGAATATCCATATGTAGAAATATAATGTATTAGATATTGTCTATCAGGGATATGTGATCCAGAATTTTCACTTCAGACTACACCGTGACTGCAGCAGAACACAACGAACCCACGTAAAAATTCAGATAAGTAATGCTGCATTCCAGTTGACCTTTCCTTATGCATGCTTCCATTTGGTACCTCAGAGCACACTTTGCTCAGATTACAGATTTAAGAGTCTTGAGATTCAATACCTTTATTGACTAGGAAAACCAACTACCTCTGTCTTCTGAAACTAATTCATAAAAATGAGACCTATTCTTTCTTAGCATCCAATATTCATGGAATGTGAATTCTAGCTATGAGATGGATCAAGTCAATAGATATTGACCTATGCTTTGTTTTAAAAACAATTCTCTGGCAACCAGAAAATCTTTGTAGTTAAAAAGAAATTGGTCAGCTTTCAAAAGCATTGGGACCCTTGAGTCATGAGGAAATATTTATTTTTTCAGAAGTGAATTTTTTCTATTCAAAAGATTCCAACTAAGGAACTTAGAATGGATGTGCCTGCCAATATGGCAACTAGGCAAGAGTAATTATTTTTTATTTATTCGAGATTCATTTCACAGCCATGAAAGATAGATCTTATCAGCTATTTCATAGAACAAAAAGAAAAGGCAAGGAAAGGAGTTAGAGTGTTGGGGAAGAATAGGAGGAAAAAGAAGAAAGATACTCTGTCAGTCGTTGTGCTTCTTAGAGGATGAATGAAAATCATAGACTGGCTGGACTGTGAAGCACACTGACAAGCTGAAATAGAGAGACGCTGTCAGAATTGTAACCTTGGTAACGAGGGAACTGTTTTTACTCTGAGATTTTGCTGTTTCCTTACCTTGCTTTCTGTAAGTTGAAGTCTTAGGACCTATTGGAATGAGTTTTTCTGCTTCACCATTAAAATACTAATTTTTTTTTTTAGTGACACGTTGGCAGAATCTGTCCTTGCAAACTAGGACATTTTCATGGTCTGATGTCTCAAAATACTGTTGATCAATTTATTCCACCCTGTAGCCCTGGGCCTGGATAGAGAAATTGGAAACTTTGAAGTGGGCAAGGAATTTGATGCCCTCCTGATCAACCCCAAAGCATCTGACTCTCCCATTGACTTGTTTTGTGGGGATTTTGTTGGTGATATTTCTGATGTAAGTAAAAGAAAGTTAATCGAATGACATTTCATTTCATGAAATAGTCACTGTATCTTCCCTGTAGAAAAAAATTAGAGACTGAAACATTTTAACGGAATGCAGGAGAATCTTAAAAGGGAAACTAGATCCTTTTGAGTTTTCATCACAGTGTTGTTAAGAATAATGATATTTACAAAATATTTATATTTTGAATATGTTTGTATATTTGAATGTATTTGCTATAAGAAGCCATAATATACCCACCTAGCACTTACTGAACACTTGCTATGGACTCAGTAGCATGGGATTAAGTATATTCATACATCATTTTAATTTAATCATCAGAACTCTTATGAGAGTTGGATGCTACTAACACTGCCATGTTACTTATAGGGGCAATGAGGCTTAAAGGAGTTTAAGTGGTTTACCTAAGGACTCTTGGCTAATAATTAGTAGGAAGAGTTTGGATTCAAGCCCAGAACTTTCTGACTTCCAGAGTTTGGGCTCTTGACCACAATGCCATATTGATTTTCTTTATTTTGTAAGAAAATGAGTTTTATTATTATTACGTTGTTCCTCTTACTATAAAATATTTCCTCAACATAAACTTGTTTTTTTCTTTAATAATAATTCCTTCTAATATGTATATTTTTTTAATTTAATTTTTTCTAAAAAATAATTGACTATTAAAAACATTGCTATTTATAAGTCAATCCATTTATGAGAAAACTATGATACTAAACATATTGAAATTTTTAGAGGAAAGATGCTACATAATTTGAAGTTGGTACCACTGATTATTTTCATATCATTTTTTGTACACTCTTTTATTAAAGTGAATTTGTGGGAATTGAGCTCAGTCCCCTTCACTCAATCATTTTTTTATATTATACTATTCTTGAAATATTTGAATTATTTTATTAAATTAATTTCTTTAATTTATGTAACACTTTTCCTCTGAAGATTTCAGGGTTATATACCAAGAACTTTCAGGCAAAATGAACATTTGTTAATAGCCAGTTTTGTTTTGTCATGTTTTTAAGCAAAGACTATTTCTTTTTCAGTAATAGAAGTAGATTTTGCCATTGAGAAATAAATGTGTATTTCTAGGTTTTGCCAACTACTGTTGGGTGTGAATTTACTTTTCTAGATGGCACAAATATTCTTTCTTACTGTTACCTTTATTTTACATTTTAGGCTGTAATCCAGAAGTTCCTCTATCTAGGTAGGTAGATACATGTCTTATGCTAAATAAAATCTTTCTTTGTCTCTGTCTTGGGTATGACTCTCTGGATTTCTTCTACCATATATAAACACTATATGTGATCATTTGATTTGATTTATTAGTTTTTTTTACCATTCCTCAGCATCAAGCCCGTTTATGACAAAACATTTACTGGCACTATCTGAAATGCACATGCTCCTCTAGAATATAAATCCAAAGCTGAGGACTGGCAGGCTGAGGGGAAGAGGCCATGGGGTCCTTTCCTCTGCCAGCCATTCTGTAATCCCAGTCTGCCCTACCCTGTTGTATTTGTGATAAGTATGTGGTGGAGTCTTGCCACACTTTTTTTTTTTTTAACATACTCTTATTCAGTTCCATTCACTGAGACACAGAAATAGTAGAATACCATTCTGCTCTGCCTCCCACTCCATTGAGTGAGCTGAGTTTGAGTGAACTTGAGATGGGAGAGACACATGTGGGATGTGGTATTCCTTGAGCTCAGTTCTTGCAGGCCCTTCATCTCACCTTGCTGAGTAGGATTCTGAAGTGTGATGGTAAGTATTTCCTTTACAACTGGGGCTGAAAATGCAAACCACTCACTTCAGCTGAAAGGACAGCAGTAGGGGGTTGATTCAATTTTCTGTGATTTCCGCCTTATGCAGAATTCAGACCGTAGTCCTCACATTAGATGCACAGCATCTTCTATTTGTCATGTCTTCTCATCCAGATTATAAACAACCTGAGAGAAAAAAAAAACAGTTTTGTATTTTCTCTCTTAGGATTTTTTTTTAATCCTTCCCTGTGGCAATTAAAATAGTGAAACAAAAGCACTTTATAAATGATTTCTTTATTTTTCTTTCAGGAGATGACCGAAATATCGAGGAGGTTTATGTGAGCGGAAAGCAGGTGGTTCCCTTTTCAAGCTCAGTGTAAGACCCTTAGCATCAGCAAGTTCTCCTGGGAAACATGGTCTGCATCTCCCTTGTGCCCAGGGGCAGTTAGAAAGTCAAAACCCAGTACCTTGTCCTTGGGGTGCCTGTTTCCTTCTGTGTCTAGTTACAGGATCCACTTGACTAATCATTGGAAGGGAGTTGCACTAATTCTCAACTCTCTGGCTGGGAGGATTCAAAATCTCTCCTTTTTGAGCTTTTCAGATTTGCTTTAAGCGCAGGCATAAGGGAATGTTAGTTCTGGTGGTGTTCTTATTATGAGATTTAAGTAAAACTGATTTCATATTCGGGAATGTGGAAAGAAAAGACTTTCCTGTAAGATTAGATACATTGAGCTAAGAAATGTGAAAATCAGACAACAGAAAATGAACCAGTGAGTGTATTTCTATGAGGGAGAGTAAGTTAGACTATGAGCAAATGTTGGAAAATCACTTCAGGTTGTTTTTGAAAAGTATATACTGAGCATACTGATTTAGAAAGAACTTGTTGTATTTTAGAATGTGTTTCTAGATTGACCTTGTGTTCAGGAAATTTGCACTTAATGGAATTTGCATTTTAGAGATGTGTCATTGTTGTGTTTTTGCCGCCTTTGGAGATGAAATGTCAGAAATTGAATGCCACATATGCTTTCTTAATATAGTTCTTTGCTTCAAGTGTTTGACAGAAGTCGGGTCTTAAAGACTGGAAGTCTCTAGCACTATTACTAATATTGCTACGTGGCATAAATAGCTTTTGTACTTTAAAATTACCTTCATGTGTAACTGTGTGATGCTATTATTGCTTCAGTTATATTAGAGGAAAAACAAATTCCATACTCCACTGTTGTGTAGACAAGAAAGAGTCTTTGTAAGCTGGGGCAGGTCCTGGGCATCCAGGAGCGGTCAGTACCAGAAGGAAGGCTTACGCTGCAGTGACCTGTTCTTCCCAAGAGCTTTGCCACAGTTGCTGGAAGTTGTCAATCTGTTAGCACTTTGAAATGAAAGGCAAATGAATATGAATGTAATAAAGAAAATGAATATTAAAGAAACATTATTAAAAACTCTAAACCCTGCATATTGAAAGCACTCTATTTTTCAACTTTATCCCATTGTCTTTTTAATTCCTAAGAATTTTTAGGACATTAGAATTTTAGGATAATGAAAAATATGTAGATGTTCCACTAAATGTTTATGTTAATAGGATTTAATCTGTCCTAGACATAAGAACATTAAACAAAGCAAAAAGTATTTTTATTCTTCCTAACTAATATAATGTGCTTTCCTATTAATCTACAATTAAAAACAAATTATGACTTTATGATAAATCCTTAAGTACTAACATGAATGTTATTTAAATAGTGTATTTTTCTCATTTAATTTCAAATCCTATAAAGTAACAAGGAAAGGGAGTAGATTTTCTTAACACTTAAACCTAAGGAATATGTATGACTCTTTATTACTACCTTATAGTAGAGAACTTTATGTTATATAACTAACTCCATATTTACAGAACTAAGGACAAAATTCCCCCTCTTCTACTTTACATTTTATTCTTACATAGTTACACTAAATCAGCAGTAATTTGTCCAGTTTTTTGTCATTGTTTTCCTGGTGGGAATACTTTTATGTTTGACTGTATGCATACTACACCTAAACACAGAACAAATTTTTGGGAATTTTTTAAAAAACAACAGTTTGTGTTGTGGGGTGTTAAGTAACGCAGTAAACCAATTTCCAATCTATCTCTGTACTTCCAGACTTCTTAACTCCTGAGCTATGTCAAAGACACCCTGACCAGTTTCTCCCCATTTCTCTATAGTGCCAGCAAGTGTTTTCTGCTCTATCTCCCAATCCCAGCCAAAGGAACTTTGTTGTCTGGTATTTAACCCATATGTGTGGGCTTAAGAATTTGGATGAGATATACAAGATCCATAATAGGCAGCAGCTGTTTCCAGCCTGTAAAGGACCCTGCACTTTAACCTTCCTTAAGAGTGTACATTTTGATGTTGAACATCAGTTTTCATTTAATTTAGGATTCCTATGCAGTAAATATGAATAACTGTAGCATCAGAAACAGGAAGAATGGCCATATACAACCTATCCATCAAATGTTAAATTTAGCTGTTCATGTGTTAAGATCTGAATATGTTTTCTAGTAAAAATAGAATGTGTTGAAGTATTTATATGTAGTTTGATTTGCCTGCATTATGCAGAACTTGCGTGTTTTACTTCTTCAAGTGCAGTTTTACTGATAGGTTGCGTATGCTTTTTGGAGTATTACAGGGATTAGCCATACCAGTGGTCAGAGATTCTGCACTTTGAATTGTTGCCTTTGCCTAATATGGGTTGACTTTCTGAATTGTGGAGAGGCAGTACTCAAAGCAATCTTATTTGTTACTTTATATTTGAATATTTTGCTCTCTGGCAGGAAAGAAAGGGTTTAAACTTCTTATCAGCCCCTCATCTCACCCTGCACTGTCCCTCAGGTTTCATGATATCTTTAGTGAAATATGCTTTAAAAGGTAAAAACATATTCAACATTAAAAAACTCTTTTTTTTGTAACCACAACACAAAAGCAGGATAACCAGCGAAGATGAATTTCACTTTCAAGAGAGAGTGAAATGTGGGATTAGGGCATGATGGTTATCCTAGTAATCATGTCCTAAGACTGAGGAAACTCTGGTCCCTTATTTATTCTCCCAGCTTTTTCTTTCATTTAATCATCAAGGCTTTGGGATCCAAGAGAGTATCTTGGAACAAGCTACCTGTATGCTAGGAGGAGGTCTTTCTAAGTTATATTGTGAGCACTGAACCCCACTCAATCTCCTTTTTACTTCTGAGAATTCTGAGTGGTAAAGGAAGAAAGCAGTGGGAAAAGATTCCTGCTATGTTAGCTGATGTTGAGGTGCACCTTGCAGATCCCTGTTGGCACCTGCAGCTGAGGCCTCAGAGAGGAAACATAACGGGTGTGAGATCCTGCCATGTATTTTCAATCTTCACTCCCTTCCATATTCTTCCTATCTGTAATGTTTTTACCTCAGAACCAGACATATGGAAAACTTTAAAGGCAGGCTGGAAGGCAGCTCTACCCTGTGCTATACACAGAAAATATGCAGAACTGGATGCGTCTGTAGCCCACTGGACATCCTGTCATCCATTTTTTAAAGTTGATGGATGATGCAAAATATTCATATGTTTAAAAAAAGTGTCCTCAGTTATTAAAAGGTGACCTAAGAATTGTGTTAAGGGCGACATCTTGAAGTACTTTTCAAAGTGTGTAGATTGTTGTGAATTTTTAAGTTTTTTAATTTTGCAATTTTGAGTTGAAGAATTTTGAAGGTTTGAAAGAGACATGCGCAATTTCAAATCCACCTGCCACATTAGATGTGACTTTGGACCCTGACCCTGTAACACTGCTAGAGGATAGGCCTGAACAGACGTGCACAAATGAATGGCCACTGTTAGGAAGCTTTAGCATTGGTCCCATGCATGCCTCCGTACCCATTCTCTTCTGCCTTTCCCTCCCACAGCCCTGTGAGTGAGATTGAGACTTGAGGGCTTAGTTTGTAAATCTGTTCCAAATTGAGTGAAATTCAGAAGTTGAACAGGCTGATGATGAAACTAAAGTTAAATTCCAATGTGACTCCCACAGTCCACAGGGGTGGACTTGAGTGACTGATGTCACGTGGCATTAACTTACCTGTCCCTTCCCTGCTCAGAATCCTGCCAGAAAACCTTCTTTATCAAAACCAGCTTACATTGTTGTTAAACTCACGATCACTGCTCTTAAGAGTATATACATTGTATTCACAGGGACAGTTTTTCTCAATATTTGTATGATTTGCTTATGGCTCATGCACTGAGTGAGTTCCTTTGTGCTTCAGACAAAAATAAATGAGATTTTGTGTTTACATTATTTTTCTGTGGTGTGAGTTTTATCAACTTAATAGGAGGGGGATTACTCTACCAGGTTTTTCTTTTTAACAGGAATTTTAAAAAACAGACTAGAACACTTAGCTGTGGGCTGACGTGTATCTTCCATTCTTTGATAGCCACTCTTCATAGCTTTTAAAAATGAAGTGATAATGTTCAACCCTTGGGAATCAGATAGCTATTGCTTTTGATTTCAGCATAGTTAATATTTCATATTTTTTGAAGTCACAACCCAGAGTGAGAAATGCACTTATCGTCAAGAATTAGTTCACATGTATATATGTGCATGTGCATTTAAAACCAAAGTCTCACAAAATAATACCTTCCTTATCTGGGATGCCCGGGGCTATATCCTATACTATTTACTTTTGTTCTGTTATGTTCTATTCAGTTTATTCCGCTCAATTTCTTTTTGTGCTCATAGTGGTTTTCCGAATTGTTTCCTTGAACCCCTAATAGGTCATCACCTGCAGTGTGCAAGCAGTTTTTGGGTGTCTTTTTAGCTGGGCCCTTTAAGTCTCTGTGACTCCATTCTGTGACTTGAGCGTGACATAAGCCACGTTTGAGTTATGAAGATGAAATGAAATAATACTTAGATGGCACTTACGATGGCACCTGGGACAAAGTGACTGCTCACTGTATGGTAGTTACTATTTCTAAAATGGAGAAAGACTGAACAGAAAGAAAAATAATTTAAAGTGTATATTCATCCATTTATTTATTAGAATTGAAATCAAGTGATGTTTAGGCTCCCTCTGTACATAAAAATGTTCTGTAAGGATTCAATCTGATTGGCGGGGTACTTTTACGTTCATTATTTTTCATTTACAACATGAAGCAAAAGAGTAGTAGATTTGGTCTATAAATTCAACCTTGGTGATCTGAGCAACTTACTAGGCACCTTTTTTCCTCTCCTTCTAAAGAACAACTTAGTTAAAATACCCAGGAGATAATCTTCAAGTGCATGATCTAGCAATAATGTGTGCCTAATTTGCACATCGTGGGCACAAAGTTCTGCAACAGGTAATTAATAGATGTGTGCAAATGACTGATGGTTGTATAATTGATGTATGCAAGTTACTAAATTCAGGATTTAAATAAAATCAGGTTTAGATGTAAAATATGGATCTGCCAGTAACAAAACAGGGCTCATGTAGGGTGTTTTCAGATTCCATGACGAGGAATTTTTTTTAGATCTTGTTTTAAAATGGGATAAGAGAAGTATATTCTGTTCTTTAAAGTGACAGAACATTATTTTAAAGTATAATTAATTTATCACTAATTCAGACTCCTCCCTTTTTCCCATCAAGCCTGCCTACACCATCATTGCTAAATCACACTAAATGTGTCATACTTCCTGAGTTTTTCATGCTTCTCTGTTAGTTGCGCCTATATTTCAGGATGGGAAGAGAGAGAGATAGGTTACTAAAGAAAAACATTCTCAATGGCAAAAACTTTGTTGGAAAGTTTTGCAGTGGTAACTCAGAAAAAAATTAAACATGTTTTGGCCTGGCATAGAAAGTGATAAAGAAAATATGAACACATAACAGAGTTTCAGGGGCCACTTGGACCCTCCTCCTTTGCCTAGATTCTGCCAGTCCCTGTAGGAAATTAACTCCATGTTCGTTCCCCCATCTGTAGAAAGAGAGCCCAAAGTCTTAGCAGTAAAATCTAACATAAGAGCAATAGTGGTCCCAGATTGTCATTTCGATGACAAGTGGTTCTCATACAGTTGCTTGAAAACTGAAACTTGTAGCTTCCCTGTGGAATTAACTTCTGTTCTCTTAATCTTGGGTAGTTTCCACATCAGACTTTCGTTTTACTACTGTCCAATGAAGTCACAACCCATAAGTGAATAATCCAGTAATCACATTTTTTAATTTCTTAATTTGCTTCCTGGAATGCTTGTGAGGCTTTAAACAGCTTTGGTGTTTTGCTTTTGTTCTTGTTTTTCTTGCTGCAAAAGTTGCTGCCATCCACACCTGAGCTTAGAAATGAAGGCAGGAAATGGTTTTGTGCTTGGAAAGCACTTAGGCCACCTTGACTGAAGCACAGAAAGAGATGAGACATGAGAGGCCTTTGTTATTTCAAAGGATAAATTAAGAGACTCAGAAAAAGCAGGGCACACACCTCTTTCAATTTATGAACACTTTCCGCCTGGCAGCACCATGAAAGATGAATCAGGCTTGGCTAATTATGTGTTCGAGATTAATCTATCTAACCACAAGAAGGCCTTCAGCATCGTAAACACGTCCTGATGCAATGGCACACTGAACACCCAGTAAAACCCTCATGGTAATGATTCAATACTATGGACTATGGGTGGAAAAGAGAATCTTTGTGGTGGTTGTTTTAAGCTTTGTGATACATTTTTTGATGTCCAGGACCATTGTGCAGTTTCTCGTGAGTGGATTATTTATTGTAACTTAATGGGGAAAAAACCCCAATCTGTACTTGTACACATATCTTCATATTCCTTATAAAACTACCTTCCAGATAAGAAAGAAGTCAACATACATGTGTGTAAAATCTTTATTTAATAGTGTTTGGGGTACTGTCTAATTGATTCTAAAAGAAATCACTATTAATCAATCAGGTAGCCCTGAAATTTACATGGCTGTTCTCTTATGCTTTTCATGTGTTGGTCCAATAAATTGAATGCTTAAAATTAATTAGTTGCCTTTTTTTAGAGATCGAAATCCATGCATACAGGAAACATAAATAACAGCCTATTAAGTAGTGTTTAATTTACCAATCATGAGGCTAGAGTGTTTTAAACCCATATTCATATTCCAAAGATATTTTATTAAGTGCACGCTGGATACCAGACACAGACTACTTGGGAGGGTTAAAAAGAAGGTTCATCTCTTTGAGGAACTCAGTCTAGGATGGTAGGTGAGGAGAATATGTAGAGAAGTAAAAATACTGAGTTTATAACAGATGTTTAGGTCGCTAAGTGTGCTGAGAGGGGAAAGCTGAGGTGTGTTGGTATATGGTGGACAGGGAGAACAGGGCAAAAGTTGGCGATTTTGCAGAGGAAGTAACATCTGAGAAGCACAGGAATTTATTTTCCATGTGAAGACTCTCAAAACGGTATCAGCATTCATCATAAAGAATTTAACCTCTGGAAAAAGTAAGTGAGGGATAAGGAGACAGTGACAATAGAATCACTAAGGTGTTGGTTCAAAATGAAGGTTTCCAGGCTCTTCTTCCTAGAAACGGATTCAATAGGTCTGGAGTAGAGCTTGTGAAACAGTATCATGAACAAATACCTTGGTAAGGTCAGGGGTTGGGTGTAGGGAAAAGGACCATCCCGGTGAAAACAAGGACCGAGTGTGAGTATAGGTGTGATCAGCTGAAGAGAGAAGTTGTGACACTTGAGCTGTGTCCAGAAACTATGAGCCTCACGTGCAACTTGGGTCCCTTACCTGTTCATTGGGAAAATCAATGCCAGCAGCCGTGTTCCCACCTTTTTCTGACCCTGAAACTGGAGGCAGACTGAGTAGCTTTGGGTGGAGTGGAGACCCCGATCCAGCCAGAGACCCCAGGCCGCCGTCGCGCCTATGCCTCTGCAATTTTGTGGGCGACCTCAACATCCTTCCTTGGCTTAAGCTCCTGCCAGCTTTGTTTCTGTCACTTGCAAATCAAAGAGCCCAGATTAAAATCATATCTGGCCTTCTTTTTTCCCCACAATGGCTGAACTCTTTAGAAATAGGTTCTAAACTTTGAAATGGTCATTTTCTTCTAAAATAAATGAATGCATGATAAAGAAATCACTACCGCTCCAGGCTTTGGCCGCCTCCCCACACCAAGCCTGCTCAGAGGCTGTATCCTTGCAGGGGCACCTCCAGGAGGCCAGACCAGCCTCCACTCATGGTTTTCTCGTTTCCCTCAGTAAATGTATTGGGGATGAGTTGCTCATGGAGTCTGTAGCTCCAGGGGAAAACCCCAGGACAAATACCTTTGAAATTGAAATCAGTCAAAGGGAGAAATAAAGTCGGAGAAATCCATTTCTTTCTTACAAACAGTCATCCACTTTTGCTCCCCTGTCTCTGGCAACCCAGCTACAGGAAAAAGGGACCCCACCCAACCTCTCTGGTCCAGATATACCCTTACCCTTGTAATTACATATGGATATGGAGATAGACTACTGTCCACCCCTTGGCAACACCTATTGATATGGAGATGCACTAAGGCCAGGTAAGAGATTCTGGAAATACTGCAGTTTTACCCATAGAGTCCCAGGTGAGGTACTGGGAGAGTGAGATGTTTAAAGAAGTAAATGTTGGCAAACAGACAAAGAAGGCCCCGCCCTCTCTGCAGAGGTGACCACTGCATGGATTAGAGCTGATTGGGACAACAAACTGGGAGCCATGAGCTGAAGATGGTGGGGCCACACAATGCAAGGAGCCTGTGGGGTGTGTCTCCCTGACCCAGGACATGGATTGAAAGGGGACACACTGGCCCCACAGGAAATCCATGAACTGTTAAGACACTGCCATTCTGCCACTGAAATCCAGGGCTGTTAGTTAATACCTTTGTTGAGGCCCTTATTGCTCTACCCCTGACCCCCTGATCCCCTGGACTGACCAAACTCAAACTAGACAGGGACCCTCCAGAGGAGGGAGATCGCTTTGTGGGCATGATCAGGCTCCTGGTGCTGAAGGAAACAGAAAAAAGAGCCTCACCCAGGGGTGTGGGCACAGGAGTCCTCTGCTGCAGTGTGCCCTCACCATTAGGCCCTGACCTGCTGGTGGGCAGAGGATGTGCAAAGGCTTGGCACTGCTTTGATCTCTTGGGTTTCCTGTGGTGCCAGGCCAGGACTAGAGTGGTCAGAGCTCATGGCTGGTCTCTGGCTATAGTCAGTGTTTTCCATTTGCCCAGTGCACTGTACAAATAATGTCACTTCCTATTTGTGCAGTGAGCAGGGCCAAATTAGAGAGCAGTATTTTATAGAAACTGACCCCCAGCCTACTGATGACC